TCCCAATTTTCTATAAAATGCATGTTTACATTCCCTCTTGAAAATAATTTACTTCAAGTAAGTTGACTATGAACTGTAAGAGAAAAAAAGAGCCCCCACTTTGTTTCCCCCATTCTGAAAAGTGACAGAGGTAGGCAATGGGATTCAGTTACCGCTCCCTGTTTATACAGCTGTGCTTCATTGAATGAAGGCTTGTGTTACACACAGTTTGTGATAGGAAGTAAATGCTTTTAAAACAACTAAAGAAACAGGTCTTTAACCTCCACCTTTGTGTGTTCTTTATTCCACTCTTTAGCTTCTGTGGAGATAATGAGGAAGTAGTTCAAATATATGTTACTCAACTCCATCCTATTATCTCTTCCCCTTGTGAACTCATTAGGAAGCATGTTCAGATAATTCTTAAACAAACAGGGAAAAGGTCAACAAAACAGACTATTTTTATTTATAGTGAAGGTTTATCAATGATAGCTTCTGAAATATTCAGTAATGGTTACGTTGTAAAGGTTATGTCGTGTTTAGATTATTTTAAGGTCCCAAGCACGAAAACACTTTAAAACATGTAGGAGATACATTGAACTTGTGGTTGCTAGGCGCCATCCCATAGGCTCTGAATCCTCGTAACCGTGTACAGCAGACAGAAGCACCCCTGACCCTGATCCCACAGTTGTTCTTATGTTTGAGCGCACTGCTGTAGCCACTGCGTCAGTCCATTTTGTCAGGGCCCTGCCTCTTTTTCGCTGCTGCTCTGCTGTAGCAAGGAGCCCTGGCGGCATAGTGGTTGTACGTCAGTCTCTGACCCACATGGTTAGTAGTTCAAAACTGCCAGCAGCTTCGTAATTCTGTAAACAGTTACAGTCTTGGAAACTCTCAGGGGATCACTGCGAGTCAGCATTGACCCCATAGTATCGAGTGGTTTGGGGTCCTACTTTACCAAACATGATGTCCTTCTTCACGGACTGGTCTCTCCTGATAACATGTCCAAAGCATGTAAGAAATCTCACCATCCTTGCCTCTGAGGAACATATTCTGGCTGTACTTCTTCCAAGGTGGATCTCTTTATTCTTTTGGCAGATTATGTTATCTTCGATATTCTTCACCAATACCATGGTTCAGATGCATCGATTTTTATTTGGTCTTTTTTAGTCAGGGTCCAACTTTCACATGCATATGAGGTAATTGAAAATACCATGGCTCTTATCTGTACCTGTATACATGTTCCGATCTAGCCAGATTTGTGAGCTAGAACTGGGGTCATGGTAGTGGGGGTGGGGGGCGGGGAGGAAGCAGAGGAATGTGTGTGTTCCATCGGGGCTGTGCTGTACCCTCATTCCTTCCTTGTGACCCTTCCTTGTGACTTGTTTCTTCCTTGTGACCCTTCTGTGAGGGAATGTCCAATTGTCTACAGATAAGAGCTCTCAATACACAGAATCCAGGACAGATATACCCCTCAGGAACTGTAATGAGAGTAGAGAGACTATGAGGGTAGGGAGAAGGGGGAGAGGGGAAGAAATGGGGAACTCTTTACAATGATCGACTTA